TCCCAGCAACATATTCTCTGACCCTCTATTTCCATTAGATGCTACACTTGAATGAGGACCACATAATGCACTTTTCTGGGACAAAGAAAAAAATTTCACCTAAAATAGGCCCAAAGTAATAGAATGTGCCCCATGTCATTTTTTCAGCCTTCTCCACAAAAAATATTCAAGGAAAAGAAGACACCTTTGACTTTTCTTGCATCTGCTTTTCTCTGTTGCGAAGCCAGCTGGACCTTTTTCTTCTGACAAGAGACAAACAACATGTTTCCCCTTTGCTTCAACCTTTTTGGATCGACAACTCAGGAGCCTAACCACGTGTTTCTGATCGAGCAACCTTGCATGCACACTAGATCCAAGGGTAACCAGCACCTGCTCAATTACCTCAACAACATTGAACGCTTCCCTCGACAACTCAGAAAGCAACGCGTTCAAACATCAGACATCAACACTCAGCAAGTGGAAATGGTGCCTTCACCAAGGGTACCAACCCTAATCGGAGCAGGTGATGCCCCACGAAACCACACCACTCGATAAGGGATAGTCCCGCCAGCAGTACAAAACAATAGCTTCGAAATAAAAAGCAGCCTCATTTCAATGATACAAGGAAATAAATTACATGGATTATTAACGGAGGATCCTCTCGATCACCTCGATGAGTTCGATCGAATGTGTGGCTTAACAAAAATCAACGGGGTGAGCGAAGACGGGTTCAAGCTGCAATTGTTCCCTTTCTCCTTAGGCGACAAGGCTCATCAATGGGAGAAGTCCTTGCCAGCAGGATCAATCACGACCTAGGAGGAATGTAAGAAAGCATTCCTATCAAAATTCTTCTCCAATGAACGAACCGCCAGATTGAGGAACGATATCTCTAGCTTCGCTCAGCGCAACAACGAAACCTTTTATGAAGCATGGGATAGATTCAAAATCTATCAATCACAGTGTCCTCACCACGGTTTCATCAATGAGTCGCTTCTTAGTACTCTCTATCGAGGGATACTACCTAAGTTTTTCCTACTTCTCGATACTTCCAGCAATGGTAATTTTCTAAACAAGGATGTTGAAGCTGGTTGGGAACTTGTGGAGAACCTCGCTCAGTCCGATGGACCGTACAACGAGGATTATGACATAACCGTTTAGGGCAACACAGACCAAAAGGACAAGTATAAGAAGGATATGAAGGCACTTAACGACAAGCTCGATAAGGTTTTGATGAACCAGCAGAAGAATGTTCACTTTGTTCAGGAGGAGGAGACCTTCCAACCTAATGATGGTGATTGTGATAATACTGAGGAGGTAAGCTATATCCAGAATCAAGAAGGCTACCAAAAGGGTTACAACAACTATAAACCCAACCCAAATCTCTCTTATAGAAGCACCAATGTTGCAAACCCTCAAGATCGAGTCTATCCGCCTCAACAACAACAGTTCCAAAATAAGCCATTTGTTGGCTTTAATAAAAAACAAGATTTTCAACCTCAACAACAGTCCCAAGGTTCTTATCAACAACCTATAGCTCATCCTCCAGGGTTCCAACAGCACCCTACTCATGCATACCCAGAACAAGATGTTCAAACAACACTTAATCAGCTTCTCCAGGCACAGGACAACAGCCGCCTTGATCAAGCCAGCCAGTTCGCCGAGATTCGAAACGATGTGAATGCATCTATACATGAGCTCAACCAGAAGTTCGATTGGTTAAGCAAAAAAGTAGCTATCATGGAAGGCAACCAAACCTCCACTTCTTCCGGCCAACTCCCAGGAAAGTCTATCATGAACCCTAAAGAATTTGCTACTGCTCATGCGATTACTCTTGGAAATCCATACCCAATTATCACTGAGGACAGTGAGGTTCAAGAGGGGGAGGATTCAGCCCAAACTTGTGTCCTACACGGTGAACCCGATCGAGTTTACAGCAGACACGACCGTGCCAACACCGAACCCGATCGAGTCTACCATAGACCCGATCGGTCCGATCAAGGGTACCACGGATCCGATCGGGCCTGATATCGTGTGCGCTGTTTGTCTGACAGATTGTGTGAATTAACTTCCGATGAGCCTCTTCGCCCGATCAGAACTACCAGCCCCAAGCCCTCGAATCGAAGACCACTACTTTATCCAGAAGAATCTAAAGCCGAAATCAAGGAAGAATATAACCACATTCTCGATTCTCTATCAGGGAATGATCAGATGAAGGCTTTAGTGGATGCTTTCGCCAACATTCCCTCCTACAGGGAGATTCTCAAAAAAGTTCTACTGGAAAGGATGCAACAGAGGAAGAGTTTGACTCCACCCTCTCAGGATTCTGGCTTCTCCAAGAAGATGGGGGATCCTGGAGCTTTCACACTCCCCTGCTCAATCAAATCAATGATCTTCAACGAGTGTCTATGCGACTCAGGCGCTTCGATTAGCTTGATGCCCCTCTCAATAGCTCAGCGGATGGGCTATACAACCTTTACACAGTGGAGCCTGACGATTGTGATGGCGGACAGGAGCTCAAGACAACCCGTAGGAGTATTGGAGGATCTCCTTGTCGAAGATGGAAGAGTAAAGATTCCCACTGATTTTCTGATTCTCGAGATGGAAAGAGAACCACAGTATCAACTAATTCTCAGAAGACCATTTCTAGCCTCAGCAGGTGCAGTTATTGATATGAGAATGGGGGTCATGACCCTTGATCTTGCTAGAGGAACAAAGATGAAGATGAATATGGCGTATCCATACCAAAGCACAACGCTCAAAACAGAAGAAACCTCGACCTCTTCTCCAACTTGTGTTGAACTCCAAGTGATCAAGACTCTCAAGAAAGACTTAATGCGGCTAGCAACCACTATTCAAGGGTTAACCGGGGAAACTGTGGTGTTGAAGAAGAAGAACGACATCTTGACTTCTAGGAAAGCAAAGAGGGTACTTACTTTCAAGAACAGATATGCTGCAAGGAAGAGGTATTAGATACATTAGTCATTAGCATTGGAGAGAATTGTTGAACCTCTCCATTGTTCAACCACTTCGTGAGGACTATACCAAGTCAAGCTTTGTCATAAACAAGCTCACTTGGGAGGAAGTCCCAACGATATCCCTGTACATATTTCTTTAAGTTTTTTATAATTTGATGTTCCTTTTAGTTTGATGTGTTTTCAGGTTTGATTGTGAGTGAAGAAAGGTGTTATTGGGTCAAGATAAGGAAACAAGGAAGAAGGAGTCAATTTGGGCCTTAAAACCCAATTTCACAAGCCCATTCGGTCGAGTCAACACGCACACGGTCGGGTCAACGCGATTCGATCGGGTCAATCTCGAACGTCCGATCAAATCATACTGAGCCACCCGATCGAGTTCATCTCAGCCGTCCGATCGGATCAAAGGTAACGGTCGGGTCAATGGTCAACTCGATTTGAATTTCGAATTTTGAATCTAGCCCGACCAAAAACGCTCCTCTTTCAAATTTTTGTCCCTTCTCACCCTCTTTATAACCCCTAAACTCGACCAAAACCTCTCTCATTCTCTCATTTTTCTAAAAATTCACTTATCTCTCTAGAATTCTCTCTTCCTTCTCTCTATATTCTTGGCTGCTAAAATTTAAGGGTTTGATTTCATTTGCCCTTTGTTCTTCACATTCTCTTGGTTTGTTGCTAATCTTGCTTTTGATTCTTCACATTTTCTGAATTTGTTTGTATAATTGAACCTTGTGTTCTTATTTTCTGGGATTATTTTCAAGATTGTTCTTGTTGTTCTTATTTTCTGGGTTACTAACCTACTAAATTTGAGTTTTGAGTTTCGCATTCCCAGGAAACAAAGATGTCTTCAAGGATTCCTCAACCCAGAAGGAAGAGTCTCTCAAGATCACAACGAGAAGCTCATCACAGTCAATCCGCTGAAGAAATTGCAAGAAATTTCTTGACAATCCAAGCCACTGGAGCCGGACTTGATCGGGTCAGAAGTGGGAGAAGAGAAACCCGAGCTCGAACCCGATCGGGCCAGTCGATCGGGTCAGACCCTCCTGATTTCAGGAGAAGAAGTTTCGATGGGGAAGAGGCATGCAGAAGAAGATGTCGATGAACCGATGGTGGATATAGAGCCTATGAGGGTAGTGGCACCGAGGAAGACCAAGAACTTACCCCCTCCAGAAGAGCTATACGCAATGTTTAGGCGCCAAAAGCTCGTTGGAACTCGCTATCCTCACCGGCAAACAATGAAGGAGCTGGGCATAGCACGAGATGTTGAGTTTCTATTCGAGAGAATCGGGCTCGGTTCATTCATGACTAGGAATTTAGAAGCCTACGACGAGGAGACGTGCTACGTGTTAGCCTCACTCCAGCTCCATTTCTACGAGGATGAATCCGAGTTTCACTCAGATGACTGCCTTGGATACATCACCTTCTGCGTGAGAGGTACTACCTATTCTCTCACGTTTAAGGAAGTTGAAAAGCTCTATGGGTTTTTGCAAGCAAGCGGGATGAGCCAAGATGTGCTAAAGGAGGAGATCAAATCTGTTTGGAAAACCATTAGAGATGGGAAGGACTAAAATCTCTTGTACCCTTTGACTCCTTCTTCTATTCTCATAAGGGTTTGACCAAAATGAAAAAAAAAAAATTAATTAAAAAAATCGAAAATTGGTTAAAATACAACCTTATCCTCACTAAAATAAAACAATTACAGATCCAACCAGTCTATATCCGAAAACCCATATCACTATCGGATATCCATCGGATCTTTTAACCTCTTTGTCTTCCTCTTCATCGTTTTTGAAAAATCTAAGTTCCCCAAACCCTAAGTGTTTTGAAAAAACTAAAAATCACAAAGAGTTCGAGTATAACTAAGGACAACCCGAGATAGGGTAAGTCAAAACCTTTAATTCTTTGGGTATTTTAAGTTAGATCCGCTTGAATGTTATCAATTTAGGTGTTCTCGATTTAGGTTTAGCCGATTTGGGTGTTGATTTCGTTTTATTACTCGAGTATGTTGTAATTAGCGGTTGTTGGTTTTGTGTGAAGGAGAAGAGAAGAATGGTGCGTACAAAGAACGCAAGCTTTAACAAAGAAACATATCCAGTAGGTGAAGTCGAAAAGCCAACAGAAGAAGAAGAGACTCGTGGAGATGATTCAGAAAAAACAGATTCAAATCCGGAATCAGATTCTGGGGATTCAACGGTATATACAACTTGGATAGAATAGTACAACTTTTGCGAACTCGTTTTTTTACTAAGAAATTGAAAAGGTACAACTTAGGAGAACTTAGTATAACTAGTTTATTTCAATTCGAAATTCAAAAGGTATAACTTGGGAAAACTTAGTATAACTATGTTGTTTTGCAGGAGTCCGAGGAGGAATCCGAGGAGGGAACAGAAGTAATGCAACCGGTGAACATGTACTTCAATAGATACGAGTACATGAAGCCATTCAAGCTATCTGCTAAGTGTTATATCACAAGGACAGTGGACTTCTTGAGAGCTCACCTTAAGTCTCATGAGTTGGACTGGTTACTAGGACACCCACAGTTCAAACACTTCTTCCATATGCCGAATGATGCCAATCACAAATTGATGGGTATGTGGATGTTGCTTCTCCGGACGGCGTCTATAGAGAAGAAAAAAGAATGTTGGTTCATAGTAAATGGTACTCCCATCAGATATTCTCTTAAAACAATGGCACTGATTTCTGGCTTATACTGCCATGAGTATCCCCGGGACATGGAAACTCTGGGCAGTAATGAGTTTGTTGGTAAGCATTTTGGTGTTGGCACAACAATAAGATATGATGATGTCCAAGCAAAACTTTTATCGATGAAGAGAGCTTCTCCAGATCGAGTGAAGATGGCGGTCCTCAACTTCTTGTGTAGTGTGATCATAGGGAAGAAGAAGGCAGGGAAAAAAGCACCATCCGTAGAGCCATTCTTTCTTAGGGCTATTGATGATTTGGACATGTGTAAAACGTTCCCTTGGGGTCGTTTGGCTTTTGATGAGAACATGAAGGACATCTTTCATTGTATGAACCACTTTGGTGGAGTTTTGAGCACAAACCAATGGGTCTTTCCTAGTTTCGTCATTCCGTTGGAGGTAATTATTGAATTATGAAAATGTACAACTTAGTATAACTTGGTATAATTGAGTTTTAAGTCCACGATTTTGTGTGGTGTGTAGGTTCTTGCTTTTGAGGCAATTCCTGTTCTTAAGGAATATTGCCGAGAAGACGTTAATAATGCACATGCACGTCGTCATTGTCCTCGGATGTGCAAGTTGAAATTTAAAGCAAGTAAACTGAAAGGGTTTACATTGAAGGAAATTTATGACAAACTTGGTACAACTAAGGTTAGCAAGTCCCATACTTATCCTATTCATTTATTTTTGGTATTACTAGGTTGGTTTGACATTATATTGTTTTATTTTCATAGGATATTGAAACTATTTTGACTCCATCATCACGTGAGAAACGTCTTTTAGGTCGTGTCATGGATGAAGAGAGTCCCTATAATGATGTAGATGATCCCGTTGTTGATGGTTGGACCAAGTGTTAATTGATGAAGAGAAGTCAATATGTTTTGAAGAGCTTTACAACCAAGATTTGGCCACCCGGGAGAATCCAGAAGATGTGGATCCGGAAGATGTGAATCCGGAAGATGTGAATCCGGAAGATGTGAATCCGGAAGCTGTGAATCCGGAACCTGTGAATCTGGAAAATGTGAGTTTGGAAAATGTGAACCCTGTGGCTCCGGTGAATTTGGCTCAGCTAGGAGCTAGATTGGTTCAGGTAGAAGAACAAGTGAAGCAAGGGTTTAAGGAAATTATTGAGAAGGTTGATAGTCTGTATAACAGAGTTAAATCTGTGGAATCATATGTGAGATGGGCCTCAGGTGAAAATGAATATTATACGAATGAAGGTGTTGGAGATACGAATGAAGGTATGAATGAAGGTGGCAATGGAGATATGAATGAAGCTGAGATGGAGGAGGCTGAGAAGGAGCAGGCTGAGAAGGAGCAGGCTGAGAAGGATAAGGTTGAGAGGGAGCAGGCTGAGAAAGAGCAGGCTGAGAAGGATAAGGTTGAGAGGGAGCAGGTTGAGAAAGAGCAGGCTGAGAAGGATAAGGTTGAGAGGGAGCAGGCAGAGAAAGAGCAAGCTGAAAGGGAGCATGCTGAGAAGGAGCAGGCTGAGAGGGCTAAGGCGGCTAAGACCGAGAAGGCTGAGAGGACTAAGGCCGAAAAGGCTAAGGCCGAGAAGGATAAGACCGAGAAGGCTGAGAGGGCTAAGGCCGAAAAGGCTAAGGCCGAAAAGGATAAGGTAGACAAGGAGCAAGCTGATAAGGCTGAGAAGGATAAGTCCAAGTCTGATAAGGAGCATGCTGAGAAAGAACAAAGTGAGAAGGAAAAGTCTGAGAAACCCGAGACCGAGAAGGGGAAGGTTGATGAAGAGAAAGCACAACTTGGTACAACTGATGAAGAGAAAGAACAACTTGGTACAGTTGAAGAAGAGAAAGAACAACTAGGGACAACGGAAAAAGGCCGAGAGGAAGATGTTGAGATGGAACATGGCGAGAAAGAACAAGCTAAGGATAAAGGAGAAAAGAGGGAAAGAGAAGAAGTTGTTCATGCTCACCAAGGTAAAAGGGTGAAGATCATAAGCAAGAAGAAGGGAGCGACTGTGGTCATAAGGAGTCCTATTCAGACAAGACAAAATGCGAAGAAGGATAATTGATGATCTATTCTAAAGTTGGGTTTTAGAGTCATTTTATATTTGAACTCTTTGTATTGGTTTATGGATTGATGTCTTTTTGGATGTGTTTTGAACTATTCTAGTAAGTTATATGTTCTATGTTAAGTTTCTGAGTTCCCATTATACAACTGCATTTAAAAGATCAACTTGGTAAAACTACATAGTAGTTGTACGATTACAAAATACTAGTTTTACAACCAAAAATTACAACCCGAATACACAAAGTAAGTTCTAAGTTACCAACAAAGCTAAACCAAGTAGTTTTATACTTAGTTGTCCAACTACGAAGAACAAGTTATACTTAGTTGTACTACGAAGAACAAGTTACACTTGTTGTACCATATTCCCAGCCCTATCAGAAGAAGACAACCACAGAAAACGAGTACACTCATTTTCTTAATTTCCTTCATATCTTTCATCCTTTCCATTTTCATAAGAGTAACTTCTTCCTCTAAAACACCAACTTGAAAATCCAATTGTTCTACCTCATCCACCAGTGCTTCATCAACCCACTTAAAGACATATCCATCATTCACAAGCTACCAAAAAAAAAAAATTAGAAGGAAAAGTTGGTAACTAAATCGCAAATACAATAGTGATAAAACATATTTACCCTTCTATCATATGCATATTCACACCGGTAGTAGCGACGACACGGATTTGGTATGGATCGAGAGATTATGTCAACTATTGGTGACCCACAATGACACTTTTTGGGAATTCCAGGGAACCTTCGTCGGTTGGAAGAATTACCACATATGATTCCCGATGCTCCAGATTCGCAACTCATTCTCAGAATCCGCTAAGCCAAAATAAAAAGACGAAATCGAAAACCAAAACGGAAGAAGGAGAAGAAGTGAAGAGTCGAGAGAGAGGAGAGACAATAAACCCTAGATATACCCAATTCCCAATTCCCTCTTTCTATTTCAATTTGAAAATTGAATTTTTTTAAAAATCGGAAGAATAAAATTAAAAAAAAAAAAAAAAAAAAAAAGGACCAAACACAACAAACACGTGATCCACATTAGACACGTGTAGCCGCCAAAAGACACATGTGTAGCCGCCAAAATGCACTAGTTGTACCAAAGTTACAGATTGTACTCGTTTTGGCAAGTTGTACTTTTTCATTTTTTTAGTTTTAATTAGTTGTCCAATGTTTAAAATAAATATTTTTAGTTGTACACATGATTTTCATTAATTGATGTACATATACCACATGTACATGCCTAAATATTTTTGAAAAGATTTGTTTCTTGGCTTTTCTAATTATATGTTGTTTGCAATGAGAAAGTGACCCTTAATGTATAAGGTATTTGTTGATAAACTTAGAATCCTAGAATATGATGATATCTATAGTAAAGTATAATAATAAAAATCATGATTCCTTATTATATATATATATTGGATAACATGATGAAATTATAATTCAATATATTTATATTTATTAAGTTTTCTATATTTAATTCCAATTCACGTTTATAAAAAAATTCAAATAAATCCTGATTTTTCAATTAATTAAAATAAATCCTTATTTTCGATTATTGAAATATTTTTTAAAACTAACAATATATATTTTTATTTAAAAATATATATCAATTTAAATATCATTAAAACAAGTTGACTTAAGAAGATCCGAAAATCAAATTCAAATTATTCAAGTTGTACCATAACAAAAACAAGTTGTACCTAATTGTTCAAATAGGATATTACATCAAAATACAATCAATCAACTTCGGGAACCTTGACTCTCAAACCAGCTCGCGATGGTAGATTTCTTCTTCTTGCGTCCATGTTCTCCTGTTGATTTAATCCTCTTTGTTGGTTTCCTACCTCTTTTTATGACATAAAACTTAGGAAAGACAACCAAAGCACGCACATTGTCCGGAACGATCCACATAGACATGATAGGAACTGGATATATCGTCCTTGAATATCCTAATGCCCACTGCTCCATCCAATAATACTTACTGCACAGCTCATGCAATTGGATCTCATTGATCTCATGACCAGCGTTTTTTGCTGCTTCCATAGCCGCAGCAATAGCGTGCACACACGGATATCTATCAATATCAAATTGCTTGCAGTAGCAAGTTTTGTTTTTCAGATCAACCACATAACTACTACCATCAACTCCAGTCACACTGTATTCGTGAAAATAGCTGTTTAGTTCAGTCACCGGTAAGAGCTTTGCGTCTGAATATCTATCGTGCAACAACTTCTCAACAAAAGGGACTAACTTCTGCTCTATTGGAGTCTCTATAGATATTCCTATATTTATTAAACCATTCATCTAGTTTGGCAACAATCGCATCTATCATTGGTAGTAAAGCGTATGCCCTTAAGAATCTAAAGACACCATTAATAGATTCAACTGTATTAGTTGTATCAATGTTGTATCTAGCTCCTGGAAAGAAACATCGTGCCCATTTATGTTGTCCTACGTGATTATCAAGATAAGTACCTGCAGCTGGAAACCTTTTAATGAAATCAGCGTAGAGTTTCTCAAACTCAGACTCGGTGTAAGCCTTCGCAACTTGCATGAACGTCGTCGCAACTACATCTCTGTTCACGTTCTTATAGCTCAGTTTGACATTCTGAGACAAGTGATAAATACAATATCCATGGTGAGACAACGGATACACCGTACTTATTGACATGATCAAGCTTTGATGTCTATCAGAACAGAAGACCAACTCAGTACAATCTGGTATAACTGATTTCAGTATACTGAAAAACCAAGTCCAACTTGCATTATTCTCACTGTCAACTACACCAAATGCAATTGGATAATGGTGGTGATCCGGATCTTGAGCTGAAGCCACGATTAGTACTCCACCATATACATTTTTAATACTGGTTGCATCCACAATGATCACCTTTCTCATGGAATTGAAGCCTTCAATGCACGCCCCCAAGGCGAAAAATAAATATTTAAACCACTGGGCTTCATCCAATTCAACAAATGAAACTGTACCTGGATTCATCTTCTCCAACATGTGCATATAACAATAAACCAACTTATAACTATCCTCTGCGGTACCACGAAGGTCAGCTGCAGCTAGCTTTTTCCCTCTATTTGCGGTTGAGTATGACACTTTGATACCAACTTTTGATTAAACCAAAGGAATCAGATTTTTTGGAGTTGGAGTGTCTATCAGACAAGGGAAATCTTCACGCAAAACAGATGCCACTAAATGAGATGTGCCTCTCCTTTTTTTACTCATTGTACTTGTTTCTGACCGTAAGCATGTATGTATCTTAGTGTAAGTTCTGATCGAGAAACTATCTGCATTCCCATTCCTTGCTGCTCGTAAAGCCCACTTGCAACCCTTTCTAAATTCTGAGCATTTAAGCACAAACAACATAGGATCCTACTTTATTATAACAAACTCAAAACAGTTCTTGTGCGCAGCTTTTTCAACCAAATCTTTAATTACTTGCTTGCTTTCAAATTCTTGCCGGATAGTCATATCCAAACCATCTTCCAACTCACGCTTTACAACCGGTGTAATCTCTGCAGCAGGTGTGATCTCAGAAGGTGTGATCTCAGCAACAGATGTGCCATCTTCTACTATTGCTCGTTCTTCGGACTGTTCTTCATAACGAATCATGTTCCCATCTCTCCCATCACTATTTTCCACCATCTCATGACTTTCAAACGGCTCGCTTTCATCAAGGAACATGGTCCCATCTGTCGCTCTACTACTTGAAATATGCTCCTCATTGAGTGAACAACCTACACTTCCTCGACTCTTCTCATACCCCTGATTTACGACTTCGACATGCAAAACTTCGAAATGATCTTCATTCATATCCATATAACACATAACATCGTCATCATCAAATATGTATATTGGTCTCTTAGGCTCCACTGATTTTGGAACGTAACTCAATTTCAGCTCAGTCGTTGTTTCATCAACATTCGCCTTCCGGCTTATCTTGTTCACCACTGCAGAATAAGTGACCTCCTCTGTCTCCATTCTAAGAGATTGATGAACTTTATCTCTTGAATTCTATCTTGTTTCATTTTCTCTTGTTGCATAATATCCCCCATAATCATATATTATGATTTTTCGATGGTTTTTATTCATTGTGGCCTGAAATAGACTAGGATAACTAACATTATAATCTCTGTCGTGTTCATAGTTATACCAAGTTATACCAAAGAGTACCATTTGTACTACAAGTTTTACCATTATAGTTATACCAAGTTGTGCCCGAATAGTTATACCAAGTTCTACCAGTTGTCCTACAACGCACTACTAAATTCAGAATACATTCATACGATTCAATTCAATTGAACTGTTACAATGCACACATTCTGAGAAATAGTCCACCCAATTCGACTCATATCCCTAATTGACAATGAGGATAAGAAAAATCGGATCAAATCCAAATCTACAATGTTAATAGTTCAATAGGGAACACATACAATCCACAACATTATGATTTTTCATGCCAACGACTTTTGAATTTAACAATGGATAAGAATTACCTCAGTTGTTGGGTTGCTTCTCGTGTTAATGAGAGAGACGATGGAGTTAAACGGAAGAGGAGCTCGATCGTGGTTGAAGATGAAGAAGAAATCGGTCCACAAATCGTGGCTGGAGATGAAGAAGAGGAGAAGAGAGAAGATGGTGGTGGAGTGGGGTCCGCGTCCATTTTCTTTTTCCTTTTTTATTTAATTAAATCAATCAATAAGGAGGGGCAAAATTTGTCTTTTATTTAGTCAATATAAGTCAAGGGGTACTTAGAACACACAAAGGTAGGCAAGTATATAAATTATGGTCAAAGGGCACAAGAGATTCAAGTCCAGATGGGAAGGAATACACTTCTTCGAAATCCAAGAGAGCCCAAATCTGAAATCCAGCTGTGAGGTATTTCCATAAGTCTTTGGCTAATACGATTTTTGCTAGAAAGGAAACCGGGAATGTGAATGAGAGTGAGATCCAGCTCATAGACATAGCATTGAGTGGTGTATT